TTGTCCTCAGACCATTTATTTGGGCACAACCTGTATTGTGTGTTTTTAAGTTGACTTCAAGTCTAGCAGCTTATAATTTTAGCTTACTCTTATGTTAGTAACAATCTCATACAATAATTTTAGGTTTTATGTTTTTATGATTATTGTGTTGTATTTAACTACTTGTATATCTGAAACACTTGAATTGTTCCTTGGAAACTTATTTTTAATTCTTTTTTGAGATTTATGAAAGAAAAATGATGAATAATCTTTCATTTCTACGAACACATTTACAAAATTTGCTTTACAAAGCCTTATTATCAACTTATAATACATCGGTCTACACTATTGTCCAAAGAAACGTCGATGCAATCGTGTCGATAAAGCACCTCGTGTTTTTTTTCACGTGATATACGTGTACATATAAATAGTTTTAGACAGCAATACAAAGTGTGCAGTTATTATTTAACCCCTCGATATTATCAAGATATTTTTTATCTACATGCAAACGTCAAAGCGTTTCTACAGAATTCGAAGCAACCATTAATAATCTTAAACAACTCCAATATGAATAGTGAGCATGGAGCAATGTTTTTGGAATATAATCTTTCAATTTTGGACTTATAAAGTGATAAAGAAGGTCTGTAGTTTTTTCCATTGACGAAGTAAATATTGTGCAGTAAACCGACGAAAACCACATGTCGCAATTAAATCGTAAACACGCAGTAGAATGTCATGTGTAACGGCACCATATTGCCGTCAATCTATTAAAGGAGTTCATTAGAACCTCTTTGCCTAACTAAATAATACTTTTCCTTAATCACTGATTAGATTTATATTATATATTTGAATGTCCCTACCTTGGGTTAATCATACTGCATATTACAAATCGGGTTAACGACGTTCGATCCTGATATTTATAGTCTTAAACTTTTTTTGCCAAGTATATTTTTAGTTTCTACATACATAGCTTAATTAAAATTCAAATCAAAAAATGGGGGTCAATACGCTTCTTTTGGCGCTACAGTACATTTAATATTACCTTTTTGCACTGAAATTTGTGTCTTAATTAAAAATTAAATTTTTGACGTTTTCCATCCAATATTTTTATCCAATTAAATCATGAAACAATATGAACTCTAAGTTTGTTTTAAAAAAGACACTTAAAAATTGTGACTAAGAAAAAGTTTCAAACTGCTTCGCATAATCAATTATTTGACCTTTCTTCACTAATAAAAAGTTATTTTTCTGGCATTGAAAATTTAATAAGCAAGAAAATTATTTTAAAGTCAAACTTTTTCTGATTCGAAGCAAATAGGTCAAATTTATCTTGAATATTTAGAAAAGAACATCAAAAAGGGGGGTATATGATGTAATTTTTTTTAGATATTACTATAAAAGTGTCAATTTTACGTTAAAACTGGCTCAATTTTTTCACGGATTTTCAGAATATATTTAATATATTTGTCACGCTTTGTTGATAGAATTCATAAAAAATAATTTAATAGATATTTCAGAACGAGCATAACACATTTCACTGCAAAAAAACAGCTTTGTGTGCAACCAGGATGAAAAAATAGGAATCTAAATTTAACAGTACTGTTATAGTTCAAAATGGAAAAACTGATCATTTTCGTCTAAAAAAGAACCTTCCGCCACAAAATATAGTCCCTAGCTTAATTCTACTTTAATGGAATTTAATCGAGTTTTTTTTTCATTGAATATAGTTTAATTTGCACTGTAGAACTCATATTTAATGTTAGAACTTAAAAATGATTCAGAATTTTATAAATAAAGGACCTGACCAAAATACGCTCAAAATATCAGGATCGAACGTCCTTAACTAAGTCCATCATACAACATGTGAATTCCCGGCATTAAATCAAGAAGCAAATCAAAAATAAATGGAAGACTTTCAATAAGCAAGTGTTAATACGTTTCCTTATTAAATAGACTAGTACTAGAGACAGGTCGGCTATATTCGGGCCACTATCCCCAGCACTAGCTATTTTTCCTGACTTATTATGTCAGTGCTATGGTCAGTCACAGTGGACGACCATTCAGGATAAAAATAAGATAGGCAAACAATCAAAGCAGCTTCGGCTCTATTCGGGCCACTGAATTAATTGCCTACTTATCTTTCCTAACACTTAGAACCCTTTATCAATCCTTATACTTACAATCCAGCTTCTATTCTCTCCGATCACTATAACAAGAAAGACACATATTCACAACATCCCGAGTATATATACACACAGGGTGTTCTATTTGTAAGGGGTGTCTGAGGTCATTCCATTTTACCAGGAAAATATGGTCATCAAAACATTTGATTCAATACAAAAATAACATTACATCGTGCTTTGGAACTCTTTCACTTTCACTTACTATATGTGAAAATTGGAAAAAGTTAAATATAGGAAGCATATAAAAATAACTAATAAATCCTTAAAAAAATTAAGAAAAGTAGAGGAAATTCGGATCAGCAAATATCCATCTTATTTAAATTATCCACATGTGTCAATTTGGTAATATCATCATATAGGCCCTATTTGGTAGTATTTTTTATGCAAGAAGAAAAAATTCAATCTTTTGAATTACAAGTACATGTAGGGATCGCATGATTGGAAACAGTAATTTTTTATTCTTAATGTCCAGGAAAAAGGTAATGACCTTGACCTGACCTTGCCTCTAATATAAAACGGTCAAATTTAATATCACTACTACCATCACTTAGTGATATTGTCCTCTTGATTCTTTGAAAATTTCATTAATTTTTAAATACAAGAAATGTGAGAAGAATCCTACCTTAAGAAATAAAATCATCGAACTGCGCGTGTTTTCAATATTGACAGATTTAAATGATCTGTTTTCATCTTAATATATATGTTATTCGTGAAATTCTGTGTATTGTTCTTATTTTTTGTTTAGATCTAAAGCAGTTAACTAATGAGTTTACATGTATTCCTCTTGAAAATGGTTTCACGTAATTCAGGGATGGGGCCGATTACATTAAAAAGTAATTAATCAAATTACAATTACTTTGACTTTCTCTTCAATTAAATTACTTTAAACATGTAATTAATTGATTTATAATTACTTCACAACAAAAGTGATTAAATAATTACAGTCAAGTACAATTACTTTTTGTTCAATTATCCCATCCCTGTCACGTATGCATTTATAGAGTGAAGGTGGGGGGGGGGGGTGTAGATTCTGTGAGATTCTCATGTTTCCTCTAGATATGTTGTATAAACTTACAGAAATTGAAGAAAAAATATTTAGAAACTATTAGATTCTTTCGGAAGTTATTGTACGGTACATTGGAAGTTATTGTACGGCTAAGCTCCGCCCCCTAGAAGTTATAGTACGTTGGAATTCAGCCAAAGGTTTTCTATCTGATTTAAAATATGGCCAATATCAAAAGAAAAGTACCGCACCATGACACAATGAATTATTACTAGTGAATTCGAAAACACAAAATAAACTCTGATGCTTTTTTCTTCTAAATGATTAAGCAAGAGTGTTGGTAGTGTGTCAGTATGAAATACCTGTCATCAAATCATAAACTGAAATATTAAGTGTACCCTGATCAATTGATAATCAATAAAATAATTTATACTGGTGGTAGTGCAGGATTATTTTTAATGTTCACATTTACATATCAACAGAAATATGTTATTCATCTACCAAAAAAACAAATCAAATCAATCAAATTCCGAAAAAGAAATTATTTTAGAGTGAGGCCAAAATTGAGGCAACAAATTTTTACAGAGGCAAAATTTGAGGCCAGGCCAACTTTTGAGGCCAGGCCAAAATTTGGTTTAAAGCCAAATTAGAGTCCAAAATAGAGGCCAGGCCAAAGGGGCCAGGCCAAGTTTTATAGTATGCCACTCAGCTGCTACATCACACGTGCTGGTTAACCATAGATTATCTGCTGCAGGTCAGCCGATAAATTAAAAATAGCAAAACGAAAGTAAAACATCATTAAAGTTATTTTATTTTTTTTTCACAGTTCACATAACTGCGTTAATTTCAGGTTCCTGACATCAATGTTTTCTTTCAAATGGTCATCAACCCAAACCACAGGCACCTGAAGTATGGATAATACCCCCCCCCCCCTTTTTTTTATGAAAAAAAATGGAAGAGTGTATAATATCTCAAAAATATAAAATTTCCCCGTCAAACACATCTATATGTCGTTATATGCAAGCAGATTGTACTTTTTCTCACGTTTAAAGAATGGCCTTATTCGGTATAATAAAAATACACAAGGTAAGAAACAAAAGTTGTAAACAAAAGGGGAACCCCTACTTCGAGACAGATTACCAAGGTAATAATTAATGTTACCTATCATAATTTTGCAATCACTCTGTCTGGGAGATGTTCTTTGATTAGTCTCTTTAACCTAAACCCCGCTATTAGCGTTTGATATGCCGTAATCAGACGATTTATTAATCGGATACATAAAATTTTCTCCATTGGCAGCGTTGAAGGAGGTTTTGGAGCTGTTTTTCTGTTTCGCCTTATCTGATTGGTTAGATATTTAAACTGTATCATAATTAGCCAATCAGATAAGGCGAAACAAAAAAACAGCTCCAAAACCTCCTTCAACGCTGCCAATGGAGAAAATTTTATGTATCCGATTAATAAATCGTCTGATTACGGCATATCAAATGCTAATAGCGGGGTTTAGGTTAAAGAGACTAATCAAAGAACATCTCCCAGACAGAGTGATTGCAAAATTATGATAGGTAACATTAATTATTACCTTGGTAATCTGTCTCGAAGTAGGGGTTCCCCTTTTGTTTACAACTTTTGTTTCTTACCTTGTGTATTTTTATTATACCGAATAAGGCCATTCTTTAAACGTGAGAAAAAGTACAAGCTGCTTGCATATAACGACATATAGATGTGTTTGACGGGGAAATTTTATATTTTTGAGATATTATACACTCTTACATTTTTTTCATAAAAAAGGGGGGGGGGGGGTATTATCCATACTTCAGGTGCCTGTGCCCAAACAGCTGTAACTTTGACGGGTTTTCTGACCTGGTAAGCATCCAGATTACTATTTCTCTTTCTATGCGCCCGGATCGATAGATCCAGGACGTATATTGTTTTTGTCCTGTCTGTTTGTCTGTTTATCTGTTTGTCTGTCTGTCTGTTGTCAACTTTAACCTTCACCATAACTTACGAACTATATGAGATAGAGACTTCATATTTGGTACGCTTACTGCACTAATAAAGTTCTCTCAAATGCCATCAAGGTCAATGACCTTGTAACCTATATGCTAAAAATAGCTTTTTCGAATTTTTGCCATAACTTTTGAACCATAGGAGATAGGGACTTCATATTTATTATATATACTCCACTAATAAAGTTCTTTCAAATGACATTGACCTTGTAACCTTGACTGTAACTTATCTGCTAAAAATAGCTTTTTCGACTTTTTGCCATAACTTTTAAACCAAAGAAGATAGGGACTTTATATTTGATATGCATACTCCACTAATAAAGTTTTTTCAAATGACACCAACGTCAATGACCTTGTTACCTTGACCGTGACCTATATGCTAAAAATAACTTTTTCGAACTTTGTTGCCGCCAGGCGCATAGTGTTTTACAAACACATCTTGTTAATTCTACTTTTTATTCGGGGATTTTTTTCCGTGTAATAACTCGAGACAATATTCGGGATTTTTTTGTCTTGTATATACAGAGTAAATATCTATCTCGCGAAAAAAAGTACCGCAAAAATTAAGTGATCTACAGTATTCTTTTTTCAAACTTTCATATGGTATATGTATATCTTTATATGCAGTTGTTTGATTATCTGGTGCATGGTCATTCAGTACAAAATGATTGAGCTTCAACATGACCTTGATCAACTGGAACGCGAAATGCTATCTCAACTGCACCTCACAGAAATAAAGAGTTGGCAAAATTTTCATGGAGAATCTCTGAGAAATTTAGAAACAGAATTACAAATTCTGAAACTATCCACTAAAAACTTAAAGCACTCTGTAGAAGAACAAAGGAGTCTAGTCAAGACGACAATAGAAAAACAACTTCAATTGCGCGAAGACATGACAAAATCTTCCGAAGGTTTGCTCGAACTCCATGCAGTGTATGTAAAACATTTCACTTACCCACAAGCATGCGTAGATAAGGCAAAGGATGACCTGAAACTTTACTTTGAAGTTGAACGAGGAAAAATATTCGAGACACTTTATAAAGAAAAGTTACACAACTTCAATGAAATGCTTGAGTCTCACTTGACTAACTATCATAATGGCTCTTCTAAAGAAGAGAACCGTAACTCATCTAACAAACTTTCATCAGAACCACGTTTGACAAAGAAAGTCCTTGCACAGATATTATATGAATTAAAGAGATCTATGCAGCGCTGGATAATGACATCACAAAGTACCTTGCATTTTTTACAAAGAATAATACGCCATCAGGACTCGGAAATAGTACAGATTAGAATGTGGACTGTGACTCACGTCCGGCAGAAGTTTAAACATAATGAGAAGTCCATAGAATCATTGAATGTGCATTTGAGAAGTAATACACAAGACATAATGGTTTTAAACGTTTCAGTCAATACAGTTAAAAGCTTGGGTTTCTCTTACCCAAGTCTTGCATACACGCATGGACGTACATGTACATGTACAAGAGACAGAAAATGCAAAAATGAAATGAGGAGAAAGGAAATCTTTAAACCTATTGACGGTAATAAATATTTCAATTACTTTTATGAAAATATTTAGTACATTGTTACATTTTTAATTTTTGAATTCCTTTATTTTATCTGTAGATGATAAATATTGGGATCTATGGAAAATACTTCTTATACCTACCCTTCTTATAACGATACTTTGGATTTATTTTTGTGGGGCTAAATGGTTCAACAGGAGTTTTGAAAACATTAAGAATCGGAAGAAAACCTTTTATGAAGAAATTGGGCATACAGCTACTAAACCTCTATATAAGGTATATAAAATTCTACGGAATGCATTCAAAGATGCTAAAAGTTTTAAATATTACCTTATTTACCTAGAGTTCATTTGGTTTTATATATTTTAGGAGAAACTTGAAAACTCTTTGTGTGTTATAAGTTTTGGACGTAGCACGGACCAACAGAAATACGTGCAGATGGCCTCTGATTTGATAGGCTCAGGGTTCTCTCTACAAATGAAGAAAGTAGTGGTCAATTCTACTGAATGTTTGGACACCCTACCTCCTTCAAAGGTTGAAATTATGTTGATAAATTTATATATACCAACACTTGTATATATCAAAATATGACGTCATTTCCATAATTGTTGGTACTTTTTAGAAACAATGGTGTCTACGTTCATATTCTAAATGGAGTTGAATTTATTCAGGCCATTCTTATGTTTGTGGATTACAACGAAAGGAACTTAATCGTAGAGGAAGAACAGGGAGGCTTGAAAAGAAAGACTCTATCAATGTTACAAAGGACTGGTGGTATAGTATTTTTAATATTATTATCATAATTATATATCACTGCATGAAACATGAAAATTTTTTTTAATGATATACACCTGATCCTACCTCTGATGTTTCGGAGATCCTTGTTTTCTCTGATCCTATTCG